ATCACATTGCGGATCTTTGGTTATTATGTACATCGCCCAACTGGGCATGTATCAGTTGGTATCGGAACACCACACGTGAATCAGCACAACCTGATCTGACACGTGTGCGGGGACTAGGTAGCTGATTAGTTTTGATTGATTGATTAGAGCACACTAGTTAGCCCCCAAAATCACGATTTTCGGATTTTGACCTCACTGCCGAAAATCAATTTTTTTTTCTTTTCTTGGATTTTGTGTTCTCACTATTTCTGTTGTGGAAAATCGCAACAGCGCAACATCTGAAATTTCCGATTTCGTTTTTCTTCTGAAAATTCAAAATTTCGTTGTTGAAAGTCCGGAATATCTTCTTTTTCGAGAATTTCGATTTCCTTTTGCAATTTCCCGTTAATTCCGAAAAAAAAAAAGTACTTCAGTTTCGGAATTCTTTTATCAGAAAACCATTTGCGGTCTGAAAGTTTGAAGTTTTTTTCTCATTGATAATTTCACACTTCAGGGGAAATGGGGGGCCTACTGAACTTGCGAATGAGTATTTTACTATTTTTACTTTTTCTCGATTTTTTTTGCAAAGTTCAACCTTTTCTTTTTTTGATTAGTGGCTCCTTATCTGCGCGATTTATCCCACCTTTCCCCACCTATGTTGTTGCCCCTTCTGGTCTTCTCTATCTGCCTCCGGGTACCCCCTGCGGCGGCATTGGTGAGTTGCCACGTCAGCAGGCCATGTCACCAGGACACGGCAGCAGTGCCACGTCAGCAAGCAGTCACCGCAGCAGCAGGTCACGTCAGTGCATGGTGCTCACCCGCTCAAAGACAAGCGGCATGGAGCAGCAGCCAGGCGAGACTACCGCGGCCTACGAGACCCGCATGCTGGACATGGTAGCAGAGTTCAAGCAACGGGCAGCTGCGGCAACATCCGCACATAAGAAGGAAGATGAAGAAGCATAGGAACAGCGTTGCCTCACTGAACAGCAGCGACAGGAGGACGCCGAGGCAGCAAAGAAGGCCGCAGACGAACGCCATCGACTACGCCGAGACAAACTCCTCGAATGCGAGGGGAATATCGAGGTGATCGCCGGCGAATGGGCAGTGGCTGCTGAAGAGGAGGGTGCCCCCTCTGCTGTGCGTGGCCTTGCAACCACAATCGAACATGTGAGCGACTTGGTCGCCACCTGTGCAGCACAGCAAGAGGACATCCTCTGCGTGGACACCCTGGTCCGGAAGCAGATTCGAATTATTGATGAACTGCTTGACCGGCTACGTCGGCTGGAACAGCAACTTGCAACAGCCACCCCCGCCGGACCCCCCAACTTGACGGACCGCGTCAACGTCTTGGAAATTGACGTCGAGACACTCAAGGACGACACTCTAGCGACAAATCAGCGGATTGACCAGCAAATTTGTGCCACCACAGCCAGTCCGACCGCGACTACTCGCGAGAGCATCCCAAAGTTTGACGGACTGCCGATCTTCTGCGATGCAACGAAGACAGACCCGATCCCATGGTGGCGGTAGTTCGAGTTGAAGTTGGACATTCACCACGTCATCAACCCGAACCGGTACACATACTTATACTCCCGCTCAGGGGGCGCGTGCCAGGCATGGCTGGACAACATGTTGTCCACGCACAACGTCACAGTCTCCGAGCTGCATGCGAAGATCAGCTGGGCTGATCTCAAGGCAGCATGACATAAGCGGTTCCAACTGGAGCCGCCCGAGCTTCAGGCAGCCGAGAAACTTCAACGGTTCTATCAGAACGACCTGCCAAGCACGGACTGGATCACCGAGTACCAACGCTTGGCATCAACGCCCAACTTGCCGTCGACATTTGTCGACATTTGTCGCTATCAAACACTTCTTCATCAGGAGGAGCTGCCCGACATTGCAGAACGCCTTGACACAAGTTGCGGAGACACTCACCACAAGTGAGCAGCTTTTTGATAAAGCCTCGCAGATCATCGTGACGAACATCGAAGCCAAGAATTTGGGCCATTCGTCTGCTGCAGGCCAGGGCAGAGGACAGCATCGGCCGAAAGTGGCCGTGGTCGCAGCAACTACAGCGACCGACCCTTCAAACGAGGCTGCCTCTTCTGAGGAAGGAGACAAATTGGCAGCCGCCCGGGATGGTGGCCGCCTCGCCAGAGGGCGAGGACGCAGCAAACCAAAGGCACACACCAATTCAGCCCCCGGGGCCGGACCAGTGGCTCAAGAGCCTTGGACACATTACGATATCTCGGAAGGCGTGTACTGCATCCGTACTAAGTACCGGTGCTACTTGTGGTGCAACAGCGCAGTGCACGACACCACAACGTGCCCCACACTAGTCAAAGGCAAATTCCCTTCGGGAAAGTGAGCACCGCTGAGAGTGATGCGGCTGCACTCTCGACGCCTTCGGAATCGGTTGCTTCGCGAGCGACCTCTCTTCATTCAGAGGCACATGCGGAAGTCGACAGTCCTCTCTTGTATTCTTATGAGGACGATGCTGCCCGGCTCGTTCCTCACTGGGTTCTCAAGCTCAAGGACAAGATGTGTGTGCGGCTTCTTCTCCGTCTGACAACAACAACAATGGATTGTCTTCAAGTGGTTCTTCAAGGGATTCGACGAACGAGTTCAACATAGAGGTCTTATACCCGTTGATGTCCGGGGATTTTGCATGGCTTCCTCTCCCTTCCACAGGCTGCTTGCCGGGTCCGCAATGCGCAACACTATGCGCTCATCTCCACACATACTTAGCCTTCTATGCCCCACCATCTTCGCCAACGGATGACGAAGTTGTGGTGGGGGACATCCTTGCGTATGTTACCAAGGTGGCCCGCGAGTTTCGCATGCAGCGGTACGTCGATAACAATGCACCGCTCCTTTATGTCCGCATCCAAGTTGGGCAAGCGTCCTAAGCGCTTTGCTGGATAGCGGCGCGACTCGCAATTTCATCAGCCAGTCCTTTATCCAAAGGGCCGGTCTTGGCACACAAGTTCGAAGGAAGCCAAACCCGACGACGATCAAGTTGGCGGACGGTCGAACACAACAACTCCTCGATCGCTACATTGAAGTTGTGCCGGTTTATTTCGCACCTCATGCATGTGAACTGGTGATGTTTGACGCCTTAGACATGGACTTCGACATTATTTTGGGGATGCCTTGTCTTGCAAGTGCGGATCACACGGTTAACTTCCATCAGCGGACACTTATCGTTTGCGACGCCTTCGGCACCGAGGTGCCGTGTACCATTCCTCTTCCGCACTCCTCGATCCGATGCCAAGTTGTAACAGCCAAGTCTTTTCGGGCCAGTTGCGCTACGAGCGGACCGACGATATAGGCCTATCTTTTCTACGAGCCGCCGTGACGATCGAATCTTCACCTACGGACTTGTCTTCGGACCCTGAGTGGTGCGGCTGCTCGATGAGTTCACCGACATCTTCGAGTCTCCTACCGGTGTGGTGCCGGATCGGCCGATCTCCCACGAGATCATTCTTGAGGCCGGTGCCGTGCCGCCGAAAGGATGGATCTATCGCATGAGCGAGGAAGAGCTCGCGGTTCTCCGCGCGTAACTCGATGATCTGTTGGACAAGGGTTGGATCTGCCCTAGTAGCTCACCATACGGTGCGCCAGTTCTTTTCGTAAGGAAGAAGAACAAGGATCTTCGCTTGTGCATCGACTACCGCAAGCTCAACGCACAAACTGTCAAGAATGCAGGACCTCTTCCGCGGATTGACGACCTTCTCGAGCGTTTGGGCGGCGCAAAATTCTTCTCGAAGTTGGACTTGAAGTCGGGCTACCATCAAATCTCGATACGCCCACAAGATTGCTACAAATTCACGTTCGAGACGCGGTACGGGCATTTTGAGTGGATCGTTATGCCTTTTGGCCTCACCAATGCCCCGACAACCTTTCAAGCGGCAATGACCAACGAGTTCCATGTGATGCTGAACCGGTTCGTACTAGTCTACTTAGAGGACATTCTCGTCTATAGACGGACATTGGAGGATCATCTTGAGCACCTTCGACGAGTGTTGGAGACGCTCTGCCGCGCCAAGTACAAAGCCAACCGCGACAAGTGCGAATTTGTCTGGCAAGAGCTGGAATACTTGGGCCATTTTGTCACACCGGAGGGCATCAGTCCGTTGTCGGACAAGATTCAAGCCATCCAAGAGTGGACGGAGCCGAAGACCGTCACAAATGTCCGTTCCTTCCTTGGCTTAGCCGGCTACTATCAACGCTTCATGAAGGGATACTCGAAGATCGCAGCTCCTTTATCCAAGCTTCAATGCGAGGATCGGCCATTCGACTTCGACGACAATGCGCGAACTTCCTTTTTGGCTCTCAAAGCCTCATTGCTATCCGGGGAGGTGTTATGCATCTACGATCCGCTTTTGCTGACACGTGTCACTACCGATGCGTCCGGCTATGGCATTGGTGCTGTCCTCGAGCAACATGACGGTGTGGATTGACACCCGATCGAGTACTTTAGCAAGAAAGTGCCCGCCATGCACTCGATTGACGACGCACGGAAGAAGGAATTATTGACCTTCGTACACGCGCTCAAGCGCTGGCGGCATTTTCTTCTCGATCGACGACATTTCCGATGGGTAACGGATAACAATCCATTGGTCTTCTACAAGACCCAAGACACGGTCAATAGCACCATTGCCCGTTGGATGACCTTCATCGACCAGTTTGACTTTTTCCCCGACCACATTCCAGGTAAGTCAAACCGTTTTGCGGATGCTCTTTCACAGCGTCCGGACCATTGTACCGCAGTCTACTCAACTCTTGAGATTAACGACGACTTGCGGGACAGCTTCATCCTTGGCTACCAAGTCGACCCTGAGTTTTGCAACAAGTACACAATTTGCTACTCTCTGAATCCAGCGCCATCGCACTATCGGATCCACTTGCGAGGGAAGGATCTTCTTTGTGTGCCACGAGATTTACACTTGCGCACACGACTTCTTGGCAAGTTCCACGACGCTCCCGCCACCGGACACTTTGGAGTCAATCGTACGATTGGCCGACTCCGCGAGCGCTTTTGGTGGCCCGGTCTTCTCGACGACGTCACACGCTATTGCCAGTCATGCGAGGTTTGTCGACGTTGCAAATCCCGCAACCATCGTCTGTACAGCGAGTTGCGACCGTTACCGGTCCCCTTGCGGCGAAGGGAAGCGATTGCCATGGATATTACCGGCCCGTTCCCCAAGCACAAGATCGGAGTGGATGGGATTCTCACGGTGGTCGACCGACTCACCAAGTTCGCCATGTTTTTGCCTTGCTGCTATCATGCCAAGGCACCGGAGTTGGCCGAGGTTCTTTACGTCGGTTGGATTCGAACCAAGGGTTACCCCAAAGAAATCGTATGCGACCGCGCCACTCGGTTCATGTCCGATTTTTGGTTGGCGCTCATCAAACGCCGGGGCTCATCTCTCAAGCCAAGTTTGGCTCGGCACCCCCAAACCGATGGCCAAACAGAGAGGGCGCATCAGACCGCACAGGTTCTCCTTCGCACTCTCATCCGTCCCGACTAAAACGATTGGTTTGAGCGGCTGCCGGATGTCGAGTTGGCATACAACTCGTCCATCCACCCGGCTATCGGGATGTCGCCCTTCGAGTTCGAGCATGGCTCGCCGGTCAGTTCTCCGTTGGACACAATCATTCCACAAACGGACGAGAGCAACCTCTTTTCTTGCGACGGATGCAAGAGCTACTTGTCAAGGCACGCGACCAGATGGCCAAGACGCAACAGCGCATGAGCCAACAGGCCAATCGCCAACGTCTTCCTTGTCCATTCCGCGTCGGCGATCTCATTTGGGTTTCCGTCGCGGAATTCAGCCTTGAACAAAATATCTCTTGCAAGCTCCTCCCGAAATGGATGGGGCCTTGGCCGATCATGGCACCCGCCGGGGATGCACCCGAAGGACCTTCCTTCACCATTCAGGTGCCCGCCCACTTGCCCGTCTACCCAGTCTTTCATTGCTCCAAGTTGGCTCTCTACACGCCAGCGGAACATGACGATTTTCCCGGACGACGATCGCAAGACCCACCCTCTATGGACGACTTTCAAGAGGTCGGGAACATCATCTCCCAGCGGGTACTTGGTTAACCGAGTACTTGGTACACTTTGCGTACTGCAGTCACCGAGCTGACCGTTGGTTAACCCGTGTGGAACTCCAAGCAACAGCTCCGGATGTTCTCGCACACTACGAACACAAGATGCAAGGCAAGCCGGTATCTTCGGCTCCACGTCGCACCCGCATCCACGTTCCACCTTCAAATCGTTAGATTTGTCCTCGCCTCGACTTGACTTCATAAGGAGGGGGGGTGTTACATGCTGCGCCTGCAACAGGCTGCACGGGCCATTTCTAGGCCCGTGACGTTTTCAGGCCAAAAGCCTGAAAACAAGGGCCTACAGGCCCTGTGTCGTTTCAGCCTGAAGGCCTGAAAACAAGGGCCTACAGGCCCTGTGTCGTTTCAGGTTAAATCAGGGCCTTTCCGGCCCTGAGTGTTTTCAGCCTGAAACTGAGGGCCATTTCCGGGCCTTCATGAGTTCGGCCTGCCCCGAAACTCAGGCACCAGACCAGGGTTTTAGCTCAGGCCATTTCAGGCCTATTTTCAAGACAACCTTTGTGTGAGCTTCAACCCCAGGGTCTGGCACGTTGAGGCATTGGCAAGAGCAGCCTCCCGGACGGGCCAGCACTATATAGGACTGGCCCGCCCTGCAGGCCGGCAGGTAGTTCCTAGGTACTTTCCAGGCACTTCACGTGCAGTTCAGGAGGAAGGAGGTAGTCTTCAGGATTCAGCAGCAGCACTCTGGAGGAGCGCTGCAGGAGTAGTAGTAGCGTTAACATTAGTCTTCAACGCTGGGCGCTAGTAGCGTTAGTTGTAGTCTTCAGCGCTGGGCGCCATAGCTAGAGTAGTACTATAGGGAGAGAGATTGGGCGGAGGCCAGAGGGACTTACCTGCAGCGCCATCGCTTCAGCTTCGTCTTCAAGGTACCTGCAGCACAGCGCCACCTTCACAGGTTAGTACCTGACATATGAGAGAGAGAGAGAGTTTTTCTTCTTCCTCTTCTCAATCCACCATCTCCCT